GACATTTCTAATTTTTCTGCTGGCATTAACAAAATAATCATAGCAATACCAACAACTACAAAAGCTCCTATAAAAATCATTTGAAAACTGCCATAGACTGGAAGCACAATTTTGTTAGTGTGGCATTATTGATGTAGCTCTTAAATTTTCAAGAGAGAAGTTTCTGTGATAAACTTCAGGTGGCCTTCCACATTCCAGTGGAATTGTCCTGCACTTCTCTGTTCAATAATACGAACGCTGACGTGAACTACAGGTGATGTAGACGTGTGCCTTTGTTCTTCCACTGATATTTCTTCTTAAGTAATGCTTTCTTTTTAGTCCTCGATCATAATATGGCCACTTAAAATGTCCTTATGTTTTGTAATAATGCAAATAAAACCCCTATGTTGAGGGCAGGAGACTCCCACACAGGGAGTGCACCGGGAGTTGAGGGCAGCGGGCTCCTACACAGGGAGTGTGCCGGGAGGCGTCTTCAGGGGCTCGCTGTCTTGGGACCGTCAGAGCCTGTTCCCACTGCCTCTGTGAGTTCAGTTCTGCCTCCTCTGCTTGTGAGTCCTTCATTTTTTAAAGTCATCTGGCCACACAGAGCTGCCTCACGTCCCTCTTTGCATGCATCATCTGTTTTTTTCTCCCTTCCTGCATAATGGCCCGGCTTTCTGGGAGTCGCTGTTGTCCTTTGTGATCGTTACTAAAATGGGGTTGAATGAAGGTGGAGGACGAATCCTCTGGAAGTGAAGGGAAACCAGGCATTTGGAAAGGACGCAGAGGAACAGATAATGAACCGGGGTAGCTTGGATGAATTGCTGTAGAGGGAATTCTTGGTTTTGACACAAAGGAACACATGGATACCAAGGAAATCCCAGGGAGAGAAAGAATCTCAGTAGGAAACCTGCCTTGTAGGATGGACAGGACACAGGGTGGAAGCCAGGTGCTTCCAGATATCCACAGAAACATGGGTCATTCCAGACCGATTTCTGTGGATAAACAAAGACTAACAGGTAAGCATTCAAACATGCCATTTTGGCAACACAAAGTATGTTGAGAAGTTGCCATCCTTCCTAATTCTTGTTCATTGTTCCTTAAGTAAAATACGTGTCTCCCTTCAGTTCTGCTAGGAAGTGTACTTTAAAAGCAAGAGGACATTTTTGGTAATGCATATCTTAAGACTTTTCATTAAAGTACCAAATTTAAATTCTACCTTTTTGTGCACTCTGACATTTTTGTCTGGCATTTTCATTAATTTTGCGACATACATAAACGTAGCTGAAATGTTAACTGATCAATACTTTGTCTCTCTCATGTAGCACTAGCGCTCCATTCCCTAAGGACCACACAGCAGAACAGAAATTAAATGTGTAAAATATCAAATGTTAATGTTAAACACAGCGGCACTTACTGTATAACGACAGAAAAGGCTAAAACAATTTCAAATGGACAGATGGTACCACAAATTATCTACAATCACATTTAAAGATTAAAGTTTGTCCTGTAAAATAATTCTTTAACGCACACTGAAGTGTGTCCTTTTACTGATAGCTCAGTTGTCCAATTATTTTTGTGCTCATTACAGTGAGAAATGACAGTACTGAAAAGAAAGAGAGAACACGCACTCTTTTTTTTTTCCATGTTGCACCCACTGACATCCCCAAGAACACAAATGTCTGGTCAAGAGCCTGATGAAAATTAGGCCCAATTTATGAGACATTTCCATGTCTACAATAGATGATTCCCAAAGACAAGCAGAGGGCCTTCTGTACTGCTCACATCTGTGTTCTTTCTTAGGCAGATGATATTCACAGTAAAATTTAAAAACTGAATCCACTGCATGCAAAAATGAGAACATTCTCAGAAATGTGTTTCCTTCTATTTTATCTATCACCTTTCAGGCCGATTTCTCCCTCCAATATCATCAAGGGGCTCTGAAACGTCCCCACGACACATAGGTAGTGCTGAAGAGGCTGGCACTGCTCTGACTCTGCACTTCTTGTGCTCCCCACTTTAATTGACATTGGGACAAAAAAATTATTGTTTTTCTTCTTTGATTGTATTACTCTACATTTATTTTTGGATGCTAAATTAGAAAAGAAAAATAAAAAATAAAACTGAATAGAATAAAGGCACTTAAACATTATAAAGTTTGCTGTTCTGGGCCTAAAATCAAGCCGCACGATGGCACAAATGCATGTGCCCCATGAGGCAGCTGCATTTATGAAGAAGTGGGCCAAGTGGAACAAATATTATAATAATAGACCCATGATCCATCAACAGGGGATGATGGGAACAATCTGCGTGTGACAATGGGGTGCTGCTCATATTCTCATCCTAATGGAAAGCAGCTCTTTTCAATAAACTGGCCAAAAAAGGCCCTTGGTTATGCAAGGAGATCTTTGAAACATTTTGTTTTTAAATATTCACAGCATTTAATATCTACAAGATGACTAAATATCCTATAGTAGTACTTGCTCAACTGTTTTTCATATTAGAATTACAAGGTATATATTTTCCTGTTTTATATATATTCCTTTTTTAGGAAAGAAAGAATATCTGCTGTGTGGTCTTGGGCAAGGCACTTAACTTTTCTGTGCCTTAGTTTCTTCTTCTGTATTTTGGGAAAGTAACAGTATCCCCTGCATAGATTTGTTGGGAGTGTTATATTTATTGATGTGTGAGCACACTTGCATGAATGAACTCAGAAAAATAGTTCCTTGGTGCATAGTGCTTAACAAATATTATTAGTAATATATAATCATTTTATATTGTAATAATGTGAGGTTAAAATAGATAACTGATAAGAGATTATGAAATAATTCAGGATTTAAATATAAACTTCAGGGAAAATTGCTGTAACAGTATTTAGCTAAGCTTATCATGATTTAAATAACTAGTTTCATTAGAGTCAACCCTTTTTTCTCTAGCATCATTGAAGGGTGAGTTTTTGCACATAAGTCTTCAGATTAATCAATTTGCTAATCAATTAAATTAATTGATTAGTCAGCCATTTATATTGGGATATTAGATACTACGCAGATGATGCTGGGGTACTGGGATGAAAAGAGAGATGAAAAGATGAGATTTCCATTCTCCTAGAATCCTAGAACTCCCAGTGCAGGCCTAAACAAATAAAGTTTATTTTTGTTATTAATTATTTTAATCCCATGCAATAGAATATAATTCAGCACTCTGGCTTCCAGGGAAACATGGTTAAAATTGTTTCTTCTGTGGTGTGTTCACATCTCAGGCCCCTTTTCACCATCAGTGTCAGGAGGCTGTTTTTCTACCTTTATTGTGTCTGCCTCCCATCTCTTGCCAGCCTCATGCATTCAGCTTGTGTATTGTAAGACTGAATCTGTCAGATACTGTTCACCAGCTCAGAGAGATACTATTACATTTCTTTCCCAATGAACTTCAATTTCCTTCCAGTGAAAATACTTCAAGTAATATGTAAATGTTCCTCAGTTGCTCAGTATACCAGTGCCTAATGATTGTTTTACAATCAAAAGGTAATTGTGAGGAAAGGCTGCCATCTTGAATTCATTTTACACGAATGACCTCCCGAAGCCAGAATTGATAAGACTTATAGTACACACTGTACAGCTTAATTGTTAAAAATGAATGTTCCTGAACAAATGATATAATAATATACATTTCTCTGTTTTCAAATTTTATAGACAGCTGCTAGGAAAGACTTTGGAAGGAGTAAATCAAAAATGGCAGCACAACCTTCTGAGTAGAATTTTTTTGTATCTGTTAAATAGCCCTATAGAACCTGGAAGTGGCGGGGTAAAACACACACAAAAACTGAGTATCATTTTTTCTCATTAATGTCAAAGTACCTCTTAGCTAGGGAGAAATCAAAATAAACCTTGTTTGACAGTACCCTAATGAATTTATCATATGAAATTAATAAACGAATATTGAGAAAAGGAGATTTTTCTCCAGAACTTGATGATGACAATGAGTTTCTTCAAGGAGACAACAACGTGCCTTTGGGAAGCAGGCTGCCTAACTTTCTGGTAACTTACAAGACAAAGGGGCATACACAGTCTTTGTTCCATTTGCTCAGACATTAATGAAAGTCCCATACAAGGCCTGAGAGGAGGACAGAGCTCAAAGTGCTGGACAGATGTGCACACACTCATCTGAATGGAAATACTAACGTGTCGATTTGTTACTTTAATTAAGGCTCTTCTTGTAAGCCCCTATAATAAAGCCAGATTCTGCTAAACTGGCAACTGTAAGGAAGCATAAGGTACTCATATTCTAACAAACATGGAAATAAAATGAAGAATTCCAAAAGAAGGACTCCACTTCAACTTCAAACTAAAATACTGAAGAAGCAAAAATAACATGAGAGAAGAAAATTCCAGCTACAGCTCAGGGGAAAGTATCTTTTGAATTTTCTAGCTCTACTAGTTGGTCTCATAAGCAATTTTTAAATAAAGTAAAATCCTACAAGATGAACGTTATTAAAGGACTATTTGGATCTATCAAATTCTCATGGGTGACTTTTTCAAACCTGGAAATTCCAGAAATAACAAAACATCTCTTAAATGGACCACACTCACTCCCAATTAAGGCATTATCAATAAGCACTCTACCACTTATGATTTCCATATTTTGAAAAACAAGTAGAATCCAACTGAGGACGGTCAAGATTATTACTGTTATTATTTTTCACATTGAGGACTTTTCTTGGCTTTCCTATTGTGATTTGGAATTATGCAATATGTAAAATTTTACTTTTTAACTGTCACAGAGAAAATTATACACTGGCTGAGATGTCTTGCGTTCCGGAACTCTGGGGGAGGGGATGTATTCTTGGACTCAGACCTTGTACAATCCATCAGGTTTCTGCCCACGGCAAATCTGTCCAGTCAAGTCTTAAAATAGGAGTTTTTAAATGGCCACACCAACATAACTGTTACTATAGCCACAGAAGCAGGCAGCTATGATCCCTGAATTTAATGAATAACAATGCAAGTAATACAGTAAGATCATACCACAAAAGCAGCCAGACTCCTTGGGGGTGAATCCCAGTCAAAGCAACTATTGACGTAGTAAGCAGTGTTCACCAGCACCATGACACAGCGCTTCATTCGGATAAAGTTTCTCAGTAGCAGCTGTAAGGAAAACGAAAATATTATTAGAATTTGCAAGACTAAAAACCATCTGATACACTGCAAAATTCTTTAAGTTTTTGTGATTTAAAAAGAATTCAGAAAGTTAATAAAGTTACAAGAACATACCAAGTAATTTTGCTCAAAAGTTAAAGAAAAAGAAGTATTTCTGAAGAAAGTGGGAAGACTCGACTGAGAGCTAATTAGCTAAATATATATTTTATAATAACGTTATCACACAGGCTGGACTACCTCTCCTCAGAAGAAAAAATTACAAATAAAAAGACATTTTCCTACTTACATACTGTGCATCTTAAACTCCTGAATTTTATTATGGTTTTTAGGTTTATTAAATGCTTTAATTTATAAATTTCAAAGTGAAATGTATGCCTTGGAATGTTTTTATTTAGGGTCTTAGAGAAAAAATTGTCAACTACTGCTCTTTTACAGAAAACAATTTTTCCGCCGTGTAGCAGGCTCCGCTCTTTCTTGCAGATTATCTATCACCTACTGCCTCACTATTTGCATTTTTCTCTCTCTCCCACAATAAATTTAACCTCTATTTTCACATTACTTTTTCAAAGTTTTGGAAGGAGGGAAAATTTATAATAACCAAGTGGTTTATAAAAGTCTGTCATTAAAAATGTATGTGAGAATTGATATAAATTGAATTTAAAATTTAAAATAGCACATAATATAATGATAAAAGGAACAACTCATGCTGTTTGATGATGATTCAAAACATTACGTACAGCTATAACCAATAATTAGAATAATTATTCTAATAATTATTATTAAACTAGTAAGTTTATACAGGTTACTTGGAAAAAAATCTATATGTTTATACAGGTTACTTGGAAAAAAATCTATATGTATAAATATAGACACGTGCATGTACAGGCGAGGTTTAACACGCTGCTGAAATTGAAATGTCCTGCAGGCAAAGAAGAGTCTTCTTATTTGTTTTCCTTCTTGGTCCCGCTTACCTTTCTTTAAGAGTTACTTTTATTACTTTTATTTAGAGAAGAGTCTAAATGGTCATATTTTCTCTAATAGTCATAGAGAAGTGAAATCTGCATTTCTATTTGGATATTGCATTTGTTACTCATACACTGCCTTTAAACAACCAAAGATCCTGCTATATTTGGTGAATTTATTATATTAAAAATAAATTTAGGCTTCAAATATCACAAAAATTATTAGATATTTGAAGCCAGAGATACATTCAGTAAACAACATTGTGGTAGCAAATACATTTCATCTCTCTTAATTGGATGCAAACAATTTTTTGAAGTGGGGTGCTTATCACTTTTTCTTAACTAGATATCAAGGCTAATTTAAAATTGTAAGCAATAGATAGCAAACCAAATTTAAAATTCCTTCATGATAGAAAAATAAGATTTCCCGATTTTTCTATTTCCTTACTTAAAAAATGCCAATAAAAGTTTACTTCTAAAAGATCATAGTTAAAGTCTAGTTACTCAGATGATTTCCCTTAGAAGATGAAGCCCTCTTCTCATCTGGATTAGAGGAAAAAGCACTCTGCTGGGTTCACTTTACACACACCTGCATCATACCTGTGGGTGGTCTGGACATATATTTGGATCTCAGCATTTGGTATTCTCCTTTAGACATTTTGTGGCAATCAGATCGTATTCAAAATGATCATCCTTTGGCTAACGCGTGAGTACATGGCCACTATACGCAGTACTTACAGTATCCCCTTTCCTTTCTGACCCTCCCCACCCCAATCCAATTTATCAGTTTGGTATTGTCCTTGTTTGATCTTTTAAAGAAAGCGGAAAAAAAGAAAGAGAAAGAAAGGAAACAAGAAAGAGTCATTTTCAATAAGTAGACGCTCAAAAATTCCATCATCATCCCCCTCCCAAAGTTTATTTGAATTTACTTAGATGTTTCACAGATATAATCAGGTCTTCCCAGAGGGATTAGTCTTGCTTGCTTTTTACCTGTTTAGAGAGTCTGTTTTCCTCTTCAATGTACTTCTGTTCTTTGGGTATTAATGTTCGTAAGCTGGCTTTCACCTATACATCAACACATGTGTCTGTTACGGATTAACATAGTACAAATGTTTACAGGTTTTTCATGCAGTTTGATTTGCAATCATTTCTAAAGTTTCAAAGTCTTGGCTGCTGTGCTCATAAAATATAAATGTATACAGTTGCACACGCACACATGCGTCCCTCTCTGACTCCGGCAGGCAGCGGCCAGAGCACGGCAGCAGCACAGTCACCAACTCTAACAGAAAGTGTGGGTGTGCCAGGCAGAGGCAGAAGCGTATTCTCCAGGACACATCAAGGTTTAGAGAAAATGAGGAATGACAGAAATTCTCTACAAATCAGGAACAAAAGCTTTCATGAAACTGAACTCTTTAGCAGTACAAAAAAGCCAAAGTTAAGACTTACAGCATTAAAAATCACATCTATTTCAAGATAGATGACCCCCTTTGTTGGCCCTGTCAGCTGCTTGTTTTTCAAGACGTAGGCTTTCTGTTCACCATTTTGAATCTGCGGGAAAAGGACATGACAGCCGTCTGTCTCGCGGTCTCCACTGAATACACTCCCTCACTGACCTTTGACCCCCAGCTGCTGAAACTGACAGAGAACCCAAAACAACTGTGGCAATTCTGACAAGTACCTGTTCATTACCAGGATCAAGTCTGTCAGGAAAAATTAACTATCATGGGATTCAACATGGCCGTGAATTGAGTATGTTAAAATTTTTAGTGTTCTTATTACAGACCTTGGTTGAGAAATGACAGACATAGAACTGAGAATTTTCTTTCTTTCTTTTTTTTTTTTTCATGAGCAAAAGCAACACAGAACAGTATGTCAGGTGAATAAAACTTACAGACAGCAATGGTATAGCAACTTTGCCCAGAAAGTCAGCACTTCGATCCCGATCTTCATCATAAACTGACACTTCAAGAACTGAATGGATATCTTTAATGTTGCTGCATAGTGAATATACATAAGAAAAAAAGATTTCATTAGTAGGAAACAAGAACTAGAATGGTTTTGAAAATTGAGATGGCTCCAGCTGATTCTGTATGTGTCTGTGTTCATGGATGCTATTTGCATACCTGTATGCATGAGGTAGCTTGATAACTGACAGAATTTCCCATAATGCACCTTACATCACCTCCAGTGATGATTCTATTATCTGGAACTTTGCACACCATTGTAATTTCAAGTTATAATTTTTTAATGAAATATAATTTCCCATCTAGATAGTCACAGACTAAGTTATCAGGAAAAAAATCAATAAGTGATACTGTGTTTTTAAATTTTTCTTTCTTCTCATTATCAAAATAATACATATCTTCCCATTTCCCATATAAAACACTACTAGGCTTGATATCAGCAAGTGTCACAGTATATTTTAGATAATTTCTTTTTATTAAAAATAAGGCATCTCCTTTTTGTTTCTCACTCTTACCAAAACATTTGTTTAGTTTTTGTTAGGTTTATGGTAAAAATTAACAAACACAGAAAACACAATGGAGAAAATGTAACATTTAGCTGTGTACCACCCTGGAATTTAGAAATTAAGTAGTGCTCCATTATGTTCCAAAGACAACATAATGTTAATAAACAACTCTGTGAGCTCTTCATATTTTTGTTTCTGGAAAATAAGCACAAATTGTTGACAGCATTTATTCTTTGATCAAACTGTTTATGAAGAAAACATGAATTAAGGGAAAACAAAAAAGTGAATATATTCATTACTGAAAAATTGCAACCACATGTGAAAAGAGGCCTTATCAGGGCACAATCAATTAATGGCTTTGATAATAATCAAACCTATTCATCCAATTATGCATTCCAGAGAAAAACACTCTTCACAATCTTCTTAGGAGTACAAGACTCCTGACCAGGCTTTTATCTCTCATAAAAATGTGAAATTCCTTAAAAATAAATTGGTCAGATAACTAAAGCTGATTAGTTACTGGCTCTTAAGGAAGGGACATTATAAGAAATTAATGAAGAATTCAGCAGTTTTTCATATACAAAAAAAATTCATTTTAGAAAACTTTTAAGAATTACTTCTATTTGGAGAGTTTTCCTTTGTCCAGACTCCATTTCTAAAGCCCAGTTTAAACAAACACAACTTAGGAGATACTATTGAGTAGCACTGGCAGCTTTTATAGTGCATGAGTGAAAAGATTTACAAACTTTTTTAAAACAAAAGGAAAATTAACCCAAAGAGTGTTTTGGTATCTAGGACAATACTTAATATTCTTATTGTGCCAAAATGAAACAAATCAAAACTAAAGCATCTGCCCAATTCGTGACTGGATTGTTTGCTGATTTCAGCAACGGAACAAATAGAGCTTTGTCCTCGGTGGTGTCAGTGCAACTGGGAAGAATTTCAATAGGAAGCATAAAAGGAAGAAGCAGCACGGCAATTCAGTTAATGGGAGCAAAACCCTTAGTCAAATCATATAAAAAGCACAGTTTTTTAAAAAAAGTCCATGACAACAGAGAACAATGGCATACCCTTACCTCCAGGTTTCACTCTCAGGAAGGTAAGAACTTAGGAAATTCATTACTGTTAGCAAAGGCAGGCCAGATGTGTTAAGTTATGAGTCAGTTAAGAATAAACACAAACATTGAAAGAAAACCTCTAAAATAAAAAGAATTTAATGCCTTATCCGAAATGAGCCAAAATAATGCCCACTTACAACGTGAAGACTTTGTTCCACTCAGGACTGAGGTTTTTGTAGACAGTGTGTGTCAGAAGTCTATCGTTGTTCAGTTCTACGACACAAAATGGGTCACTTTTACCTACGAGAGATTTTAGGTAAACATGTTTTGTATAAATAGCTCCCATAGTTCACAGTGTCATAATCACGAAAATATCTTTTTTCAAAAAGTTTTAAAGTAAATAAACTGTGAAATACAATTTTAAAAATTAAAAAAAAAACCCTGTCAAAATAGAGTTAGATGTAACTGGTTGACGTTAGCAATTGTTATGATTCATAGCTATTTAGAGCCTGGAAAAGTAAAAGAAATAAAATTATAGAGCTGGCATTCATTTCAATTTGTAATTTTTTTTTTTTACAAAAATCGTACTTTAACTGCCAGTTATGATAGAAAATGCGATGCATGTCCATCCTTAAATCAGTTTTTATTTAATTCTATAATGACCATCTGAAAAGTTCGGCCTCTTTACTCTTATGCATATACAGAGGGTGCAAAAACCGTGTATGTACATTTTTAAGAAAAGAAAAAACTATGTTAAAATTGTAATAATATATGCTGATAACATTTGTTATCTTACATATTTTACCTTGTATCACTTGTAATTGGAGAAGTCAAATATAACTTGACTATTACAATTTTAAAACAGTTTTTTTCCTTTTTAAAAATGTGTATACAGGTTTTGGAGCACCTTCTGTATTTTCAACTCATCTGATTTACTAGGAATCAGGAATTTCTAAGTCCACAGCAGTAATTTCTAATCAATTTCATTTTTGGAAAACTGCTATTTTGCAGACTTATAACATTTTAATTGGACTAAGATGTAGTTACTTTCTTCTGAGATACCTATGACATCTCAAGAAGATAAATTAAATCCTCTGAGGCAGGAAAAATTCTGCCTTTTGAAAACTAACATCAATGACAGATCTGCATCTTAAAAAGCAGTGGGTTTTTTGTCCCCTAAAAATGAAAGATTTAGAAGTTATCACCTGTTCAGAGCATTTCTGCTCTGTCACATTCAAATCTCATCCACTCAGCAGTTATGTTTTGTGAAGTCTTCAATATTTTCGTAGTGTTATGTTTTGTATGATAAGAACCCATAAAGTCAGAGGCTCTACGGGGGCAGCATTAATGATATTAGTGCAGCATGTAATTTGTTTGATACCTTATACAAATGACAATGAAATCAATATTTAGACAAAGCTGTCCAGAGGTCATATCTTTTAAACTATAATATTGATTTAGACTACATAAGAGGTTAATGTGCATATTATTAACTTTAATGATAAAGAATAATTGTTTTAAATGCATTGTGAATTGTAGTCACAGTAGTTTACACTTCTGTGAAAGCTTAAATATCATTGAAGATTTTCAATTAAATTTTAATGAAAAGGAATTCATTAGCTATCAAGCTATGTATTCCCACACAGTGGGGTATTTACTTTCCATACTGTAATTCTTAAAATGAGGTGTACAAACTTGGACTCACCTTTAATTTATAAATTTTATGTTAAAAAAGAGATTTTATGGGTATGTGCTAGTTCAGTGGCCTCACATACCCCAGAATAATTGCATAACATTATGGGCTTCTCAATTTTGGGCCTTAGGAATAATTTTTAATAAAGACTAGAGAACTGGAAATCTTCAAGGTCTGGTGGAAATTTCACTTCTAGGGTGAGGTCTGTATTACCTTATCCCCCACCCTTCATCCCCTTACCCTGCCTGTTACCACTCTCACTTCCAACTCCCACACCTCATGGAAGACAGCGTTCATTAAAACACATTGTAATAGGTTTATATTGGGCATGTCAACAACACAGAATTCAGATATCAGCATAAAGAGGAAGGGGAAAACTATTTTCAAAATATTTTTAAATGTAAACTACTAGTTAAGACCTTTCCCAATAACTGTGCTGTATCTCTGTGAACGGTGGACCATGCACGTAGGAAGAACGGGATAATATCTGGATGACCGGTCCACTCACAGTGTTTCATGTGCTGGGGAGACAGCAGTGAACAAACAATTTAAAAAAACATTTCTGACCCTTGGCGTTTACGTTGAGGAAGAAGATGGTAAACATATTTTATAGTGTTTTAGAAGGTTACTATGGAGAAAAATATAGATGGGAAAGGTGATGGAGAATGCTGGTAGGTAAGTGCAATTTTTAAAAGGGCTCAGAGAAAGCTTGCTGAGAAAGTGACATCACTGGTAAGGAAATGAGGAGTGATGGAGGGAGCCTCAGCTACTCACAGGGAAAGGATGTCAGAGGGCCAGAAAAGGTGTCTCTAAAAGATCTGGGAAGCCAGTGTGACTGGAGGAAGGGAAGGAGGATTTGAGTGGAGTGTGAGGGGAGTGTAGCAGGTGACTCAGAGAGGTGTGAGGACAGTGGCAGGTCTCCCAGAGGACTTGGCTTCCACTCTGTGCGGGAAGCTGTGGAGGAATGTGAGTTAAGGAGTGACGTGACCTTCTGACAGCTATTCAGAAAGTAAGGTGGAGAAAGGGTGGTGGAAGAGGGAGGGACAAGAGTGAGGGGCTACTGCAGTAATCCAGCAGGTGAACATGGCTGGATTCTGGACATATCTTGAGGGGAGAATCAACAGGGTTTGAAGATATCAGTATAGAATAATCAAATATGCTCGTATTTTGTTTTCTGAAAACGAAGAGAGTTCATTGAGCTTAGCCAAGCCAGTATTCCCCTGTCCTGCCACAGACAATCAGCATTCAACAAGCACTCAGACCAGATCTCTCTAGAATCTGACACAGAGGCAAGCTGAGGTCAGGAGAGAGTAGGCAATTTTATGTTTAATTTATATTCATCTCTTCCTTCTAAAAAGTTATTTTTTTATAGTTATCAGTAATGGATGCCAACATCAGGTCTTTAGACACTATGTTATTGTTGACTAGTTGAGAAAGCACCCCTCTGCCAACACACGATTCCAGGGCAATTAAAAATTAACAGCAACTGCAACCAAAATAATAGTAACTGTGCAATATCGGACTCTATAAACTTATCACTAAAGAGCACAAGCTACCGTGTTATTTTAAAGAAATGGCTACACATAGCTAAATGTGCTTATCTGGGTTGCTAACTAAGCTTTAAATGGCTGGCTTCTCAGTTCCTAGATTGTGCAGCCTTGATTATCTGCCGCTTAAATAAACAAAAACGATCAGAGAAATGCTGGTGCTGGACCTACCCATTAATTATCTCCTTAATTATTCCTCTGTTCATCCTTTTATCCCGGCATTTATGACACACAGCTCTGCTTGCTGAGGGTCCCTGGCTGTGGTTGACTACGGGATGGGGTGTTGGTGTTTGTGATGTGCACTGTATTAAAGCTCCAGAGAGTGATTGAAAACAGCCCCTCCGATGTTTGTATTCAACACCCCCTAGCTAGAAGTACAAGGAATGAAGGCAGCATACAAGTTGAAACGTATTTTGTTTCTGATAACTTTTGAGTATTTGGAGGACCTACATGTTTGAGAACACAGATTACATAATCCCTTATTTCCCTCTCACTCATTTTTGTCCTAAGACTAAGGCAGACTTGTACGGACCAACTACCTCTTTCTTAAACTCTATCATTTTCACTAAAAAAGTGCCTATCCTTCTCCATAGCAATGCAAGAAACTGGAGAATTTGGTGTAAATAGAAGACAGAAATTGCAGCAGTGCCAGGTGAGGGCAGGGGCTGTGGGAGTGAGCGCCTTAACCACCATGACAGCTATCAGAGACTCAGCCTTCTTTGCGAACGTGGCAGGCCTCCACACTGACAGTTTTCTAGAGAGAAATGCGTTCATTACTTACTGAGTTCTGCTCTGCTCACCCCAGAGTTACAAGTGTGATTAAGACATATTCCAGCTCTCAAGGCATGCAAAATTTCTGGTCATGACAGACATATAAACATACAATTATGACGCAGGGTTGTTAAGAACTATAACAAAGGTAAGTGGAGGGTGCAAGGGGAGCAGCGGGAAGGAAGCTTGTCATCCTACAACTTCAGGAAGGGAGGCAGAAGGAGGCCTTTCCCAGCAGAGGTGACTCTGATCTGTGGTGACCGCAGATCTTTATCACCAGTGTTTTTAGATGTGAAAAACAATATAGAAAGTGGACTTTAACAATTTAGGATCAAGAATACTTAGCTTAAATCTATTTTGGTATCTCTTTAATAAGTTCTCTATGAGACAAAAACTTAGGTGTATCATAAAAATATTATATTAGGACTGATACATTTATCTATCATTTAGTTAAAAAGCAAAGGCTTTTTTTCCTATTGATTTTTCTTTTAAAAATAATCTCCCAAGGGAATCAACTCTTTTACACCCGAACTCTAAAACAGAATCTATAACAGATTTTAAAGCATATACTCTACTACCTCAATTTTTCTTTGGGTGAAAAGCCTTTCCTCTGATAGTAGAAACAAACATCAGAGTCGTCTCCAATGAGAGTCTTTTCTGGCAACCTTCAAAACTGCATCAAGGATTAACAGGGTACCCTAACTGGGTAATTCTCTCCCCACCTGTCCTTGCTCTTTGAGGTCACAGCACTGAGGACTGATAACAGAGCTGGGTAGGTCCGTCCCACCCCACCCACTTGAGGTCATGACACTGATACAGAGCTGGGGAGGCCCACGCCCCACCCCGCCCACTTGAGGTCATGACACTGATACAGAGCTGGGGAGGC